TCTTGTATTTCCTTGCTGAAAGAAACTGTCAATGAGTCCTTGGTTGATCAGCTTTGTATGTCTGTATCTGTTTTCATGAGAAACCACTTTGAAGATATCAGTATGTAATACAACAAGCATTGTTAATTCCCTACCACTCTGTAACTCTGTACTGTCTGTACTGATCCTTTGCTGTTTTGTAAAATGTTGTCTGTCTGTTAGTATTTTTCATCTTTTATTTTTAAAATAATAAAAAAAATAATAAAAGTTTAAGGTGCAGCATTAGACTATTTATTTGTTCTCTTTCTGTTTTTCTTATGTGTGAATTCACCGGTATAAATTTCCCTGTGAGGACTGTTTTCATTGCATCCCATAGATTCCAGTAAGGTGTATTTACATTTTTATTTGTTTGTAGGTATTTTTTAATTTCCTCTTTAATTTCTTCTGTGACCCATTGGTTGTTGAGGCGATTGTTGTTTAATTTCCAAGTGTTTATGGAGTTTTTGGAGTTCCTTTTGTCGTTAATTTCCAATTTCATTGCACTGTGATCAGATAGTATGCACGGGATAATTTCAATTCTTTTGCATTTTTATAGATATGCTCTATGTGCTAGGATGTGGTCTATTTTAGAGAAAGACCCATGTGCAGCTGAGAAAAATGTGTGTTCTGATGTTGTGGGGTGGAACACTCTGTAGACATCTACTAAGTCCATTTGTTCAAAGCTTTCATTCATATCTGTTATTTCATTGCTGATTTTTTGTCCACTTGACCTACCTCTTTGTGTCAATGGGGTGTTGAGGTCCCCTGTTACAATAGTGTTATTAATTATGTGGGTCTTCATGCCTGTTAAGATTTGTCTTATATAATTTTAGCTCCAATATTTGGTCATACATGTTTCTGATTGTTATCTCATCCTCTTACAGTTTTCCCCTGACAAGTATGTAGTGACCTTCTTTATCTCTTTTGATTATTGTTGGTTTGAAGTTTACATTGTCTGCAAACAGAATAGCTACACCTGCTTTTTTGTGGGTTCCTGTTGCATGGAGGATTGTTTTCCATCCTTTGACTTTTAGTCTGTGGATTTCCTTTTGAGTAAAATGTGTTTCCTGTATACAGTATCGTTTGTTGGATTTTGTTTTTAAATCCACTCTGCCAGTCTGTTTCTTTTGACTGGAGAATTGAGGCCATTTACATTTATAGTTAAAACCAATGTGTGTTGATGTATCATTGTCATGTTATTTACTTGCATTGGTGTCCTACTTTTTCTACCTGTTTACTTGCTTACTCTTCTTGACGTTTCCTTTCTACTGTTGTTCTTGAAATTGTGGTCAGATTTCTCTCTGTCTAGAATATCTTTTAGTGCTCTTTGTAATGCTGGTTTGGCACTTATGAAGTTCTTCAGTTGTTCTTTGTCGTGGAAGTATTTTATTTCTCCATTGAATTTGAGGGATAGTTTGGCAGGGCACATCAGTCTTGGTTGGAAGCTGTTTTCTCTCAGGACCTGTAATACTTCGCTCCAAACTCTTCTCAATTGGGTGGTTTGTGCTGAGAAGTCTGCCGTGATTCTGATGGGCAGTCCTTTATAGGTAATCTGTTTCTTTTTTCTAACAGCTTTTAATATTCTGTTCTTTTGCTGAAGATCTGGGAACTTGACTATTATATGTCTGGGTGTAATTTTAATTTGGTTGTGGTTGGTTCGAGTTGTATATGCCTCGTTTACCTATATATCAGGTTCCGTTTCCATACTTGGGAAATTTTCTGCTATTATTTCTGCAGATATTCTTTTTATGTCAGTTGTGTTGCCTCCTGCTGTTTCACTGACTCCTATAAGTCATATATTATTCCTCTTTGCCTCATCTTGCAGCTGTTGAATTGACTTTTCCTGAATCCTTGTTGATTTTACGAGATCCTTTCTTTCACAGTCAGTAGCTGCCATGCTGTCTTCAAAGTGTGAAATTCTATCTTCAGCTTCATTCAAGCGGTTTTGGCAGCTTTCAATGGCAGCTTTGTTTTCCTGGAAGTCTCTTTGAATCTGGTTCATGCATTTTAAGTCCTTTCTATATTTTTCATTTAATACTTTTGTCCATTTCCTTTGTTCTTCTATTTTCTTATATATTTCTTCTTCAGACTTTTTGAGCAGTTCCTTCATTATTATTGTCATTTCATTTTTTGCCTGAGAGATTATTTCTGATCTCATCTCTTCCATGGCCTTATGGAGTCATTTCTTTACTTCCATTGCAATCATTTCAGCTGTTTCAGGCATATGTTTACCAAGTTCTCCTATGTCAATGTCTCCTGGACTTGTTCTGAGTGGGGTGGCGTTCTGGGTTTGTTTTAGTCCTTCGTTTTGTCATGTTTGCTACCGGATGCAGAAAGCTTAGTTTCCCTCTTCAGTGGCTGCACAGCAAAGGCCACTAGTATCCCTAGTTTTCCTGTTGGTCAGGTTTGCCCATCAGTGCCCACTGAGAAGCACTACTTAGTCTGTGGTTTTCTGGGAGTTGTTGATTTGTATCTAGTTATCCCAGGTCTCAGATGCCGGCATTGGTGTCAGCTGATGGCAGACCATCTGATCTAGCATCCCCTTGCAGTTCAGGGCACATGCACGGCCCAGACTCGGGTTGCACTGGTATGACAATCCTCTTCCAGTAGACGTATGTCCCCTGGCAGTTCAGGGTACAGGCAAAACCCAGATATGAACTGCAGGGTCGACAGATTGTGAATCACCTGATTCTGTGTTTCCAGTCAGTTCAGGACA